TGGTAATGAGATGATTTCCAGGGCTTGCATGTTTAAGGCTCTGCCGGCTTCCTCTTGGCCTTCGCTTGCTGTGCTCCTTGGCAGCTTCAGAGTTTACTGACGTTATTAACCAACGTGACATGTTCCTCTTGGCCGACACGGAAATTCAGGGAAGACACGCCAGTCTGCCATGAGACAGGGCCCTTGGAGCTTCAGGAGAGAAACATGGAGCTGGGTGTAGCCCCACAGCAGACTTGCCCCCAGGGAGTAAGAGACACAGGCTCGTCATCCGGACTCTCAGGAATAACCCTCACCCAAATTTGCTGGCAATTGGAAATTTCTACTGTGTGCTGGAGTAACATGGGAGCTTTTCTCTTAGATAGGCGTAGCATAGTTGGTGAAGGTAGGCATACCAGCTAGAAAAATGATTCACTTGGTAACTCATCAAGTAATTATTGAGAAACCACTATCTGGCAAGAGATTGCTAGTGCTGGAGGTGAGCAAAGAAAATGCAGTCCCTCCGCTCACAGAGCTTATGTGCTGGAGAGAGGGACAGACATCAGTCTGGTGGCCACCGCAGCTAATGTGTAGTTGTGATAAATGTGATAGATGATGGGAAGACAAAGTACAACTGCTATGAGGGTATAAAACAGGACTCCAGCCTGAAGAGAAGGAGTCCTCATGGAAATGACATTTGAACTAGGATCCAAAGGCGATAACTAGACTAAGGGTGGGATACAGGGGGAAATGGAGCGGAAAGCCTTGTGGGCAAGAGGAGAGGCACATGCAAAGGCCCAGGAGCAGCAAGAAGCCTGTGAAAAGGTCGTGTGGCTGGAGTGCCCAGAGCCCAGGAGTCATGCAGGATGAGGCCAGACAGGTGGCATGAGCTGGGTGATGCAGGACCAGGTGCCACAGCCAGGACTACACATGTATTCTAAGGACAGTGGAAGGCCACTGAGGGTTTTAAGCAGCAGAGATGGGTGTCTTACAGAATATTATTCTGAATGCAGTGGAATGGACTGGAGCCAGGCCAGGGTGGATGGGGAGGCCATCCGCACGCCATCACAATGGTCAGTGGGAAGAAATGAGGTGATGAGGGATACAGAGGACATTGGAGACAGGATTCTCCTCCCTCCCCTCCCTTCTCCTCCCCCTCCCTCCCTCCTTCCTTCCTTCCTTCCTTCCCTCCCTCCTTCCCTCCTTCCCCTCCAAACCTATCCGCTCTCTCTGCTCCAAAAGGCAGAAATGCGTTCTTTTTCTTAGAAGATCTTTACAGTTTTCTAAGTAAAATTCCATCCTCCTGTCTCTGTGGGGGAAATTCCTCAAAGAAACAGTGGCCTACAATTCTATGCCAGATGACAGAATTTAGGAAAGCCATGTTCAGTTCTGAAGAAGCAAAGGGCTTTCTCACAAACGCAGTAGACCTCCTTTGCCACTCCAAAAGCCCTCCTTCCAGGCCCATTAGAACCCCCAAAGTGATCTGATTTTCATCAATCCCAAAGCCAGCCAAGCAAGGTCACGTTTACAGGACTCCCTCCCGGCACCAGTCCAGAAAACAATAAAAACAGATGCAAGCCCTGCTGTGGTACAGAAGCCCACTTTGGAAACCAGGGGGTCAAGTGCCCATTATCCAGGTAAGCAGGCTCTCCATGGGAGACCAGAAGTGCACGTCGACATGCCAAGTGGAGAGGAGCTGGAAATCACAGGCGCCACCTGGGAAAGGAGGCCTCAGCCAGGCAGTACTAATAAAACCGGACAATGCCACGGAGCTGGCGTGGCTAAGCCAGGAGCGAGGGAAGGATAGACTGGGGGAGGAAGGGCCTCCCTTCCTCCAAAATCAATATCCCTGTTAACTTGGGCAGAAGAAAATCTGACAGCTCTGGAAACCTGCCCATCTGATGAGAAGGAGGAAGCTGAGAAGCGGCTGGAGCCCGAGAAAGCCCAGAGATGCAGGCGCGATCAGCTGCCCGTTGGGGACCTGGTGGCAAGTCCACTCTGCACTGCTTTTACCAAAGCCCAAGAAGACAGGTGCTGCTGCCAGTCCCCACACGACTTCCCCAGCTGCCTCATAACGTGCCTGCCCCTCCGGTGATCCCAGCTGGATCTGTGTTATAAAAGATCCAAGAAACAAACAGGGCAGTCAGCTTCTGAACCCAAGTTCCCTGAGGTCTGGCCATTGTCGGGCCATTCCATTTTCTATCTGGGCTATAACTGAGAGGCAGCTGGCATAACCGAAATCTACAGAGAAACCGAAGTCTGGCCAAGAAAATTCTAGTGACCAACCACCCTTTTATTGATAAAGTGATACTATCTGACTGGCCCATGATACTTATTTAAGGCCACTTGTGTGAGGAGGAGAGTATGAATCCACAATCCTTCATCCACATTTCCAAAATCCAAAGAGCTCTGAATGCCAAAAATTTTATTGTAAGTTTTCAGCTGACCCACTTGACAGCAAAACCTGCCCTAAACTGACATAGGGTGATTTGTCGACTCCATCCCCTAAGGGGATGTGACTAGTCCTACATTTTGCTCCAGGTTTCCGGCTGGGGTGATGTAAGATAAACTGCCTGAGTAACCTTTTGCCTTTCCAAAAACTTCTTCATTCTAAAATTCTTCATTCATACCTTTGAGAAAGTCTGTTGTGTTTCCATTTCCTTGAAAACTAACACAAGAATGGACACCTATTAGTTGCCAGATAAATGTTATCTGTTGAATAAAATGCTTATCACAAATCTTAAAAAAAAAAAATACCTTTGTCTCCCAGGTTTTCTAGTGAGGGATTGTAAACTTGTATTGTTATGGGTTTGAGGACTTGTGGTCTAGTAGATAATCAGGAAATCCAAGGGCAGACTAAATAGAGCCCTTTGCACTATAAATATTTAATAGCCATATAGATGTTTGGGGTTGATGGAATTGCAGAAATTCACTCTTACATAGTCTGAGTCCAAATTTCAATGGAGACAGCATGTGGTGAAAAAAGCATTGGTTTGGGAGTCAGAAGGTGCCTGGGCCATTATTAATGACCCTTGTGGCCTTGGGCAAGACTTTTCTCCTCCCTGGATCTCATCCATAAAATGAAAGACTTGGACAAGATGATCCCTAAGAACTCTTTGTGTTTTTATATTCCATAATTCCATGAACTACCCGCAGGAGGGATAAGGAGCTGGGTAGCAAGAAGCTCAGATAAGGCCTCAAAGAGGGAAAAGCAAGAACACGGTTGCATGTTCCGGTCCATTACTAGGGATGGAAATAACACAGCCAGTCAACTGGGGTTGGGCAAATCATGCCACCATTTATGGGACTGTTCACAGACTCTTGGTGCTGGGTGATCAATACGCCCAGGACACTGGATGATAACAGGCCTGGCAATGAGTGAGGCTGGGGAGGATCCCTGTCATGCCGAGGCTGTGACATTGCATTCTGCTGAAATCAATTTGGCTCCGTTTCATGCATACCTAGCAGATTTACCAGATTGTGAAAATGAATGTTTTCTATGCGCGTGGCTGATTTTTGCATGCATCTGTTCACTCATCTAAACCTTAGTTACATGCTGCTTGGAGAATGAAAGGCTATAATTTCTTCTTTTTGAAGCAGGAGTGGTAGAGGCACCATGATTTCTGCTTTATGGATCTGCGCCAGAATGGTGCACCACTTTTCTTCTTATCGTCTCAGAAAAAAATGAAGTGATGTGTCTGTATTTTCTACTGGATTTGCAAATGATCCTGACTTTAATGGGAGTCCAGTGCCTGAGAAGATGGTCTTCAGAATGTAAATATCCAGTGGAATGCAAACATGAGTATTTATATCATTTTCATGTGACATTAATAAGCCCTTGATGGCTTGTCATGTTTCCATTTTAGATGACAGTGCTTCCTTCAGATGTCAGTGGTCAGGCTCAAGGACAGTGATACTAGTATTTATTTAGTGCTTTGCATTTCTGGGATGCTTTTATCACCCTTAATTAGTAAACCACAAATAATTTCTGCTCCATAGCTTAGTGCTATAGTCTTCAGTGTTCATGAGGACAGTATGCTCTAATGACTAATAAGTAGGATGGATTTTGGAATCAGTCAGACTCAGATTTGGACTCTGACTTACTGGGTGTCTGTCCCTCATCAAGCCTCCACGTCCTCCTCTGTAAAATGGAGACAGCGGCAGGCTTATCACAGAGTGGGTTTGAAGATTAAATCAGAATGTGCATGTCAACTGCATAACCTAGTGCCTGGCCCACAGTAAGTGCTCGATGTATCTTACCTGACACTAGATGACGGCCACTTTGCTGTCCCCAAGTCCTCCAGTGCCTGGGAATCATATTATAGCACAATACTTCCTAAAACGGAAAAATCCATAGGCCATAGTAGGGACCAAAGTCCCGCCACCTTTCCTACTCCCTCCCCCCTTCCTTTTCAAACTGCTAGAACCTGTCTATTCTTCTTACTTTATTTTGCAGAGAAATTTGGTTTTTGTTGTCTCACTCCTGGTCTGTCTCAGCCTTGCCCTGAGGGCTCTTTCCACTAGCAAATAGCCCAACCAGTTTTTGTTTATTTGTTTTTAAACAAACAGGAGTAGTTCTTTCTACCCTTAGCCTTTCTATACTAATTTTATTAAAGGCAATTATTAAAATAAAAATTTTTTATAAGACAGTTTTCTCCCTGAAGAATTCTGACACCAGCTCTTAAGTTACCCTTTCCTCCCTCCTCACCATGTAGATATTATGGGTTACTGCAAGTTCTGGTTCAAGGGCTGGCAAACCCATTGGAAAAGTAAGGAACTTACCCAGGTCTTAGAGTCAGAAACAGAGACTGAACTCAGAGCATGGGAATTGAGCCTCCTAGACGTTCCTTTTTCCCAAAAGCAAGGTTTCTTCTTTCAAACATTGCAATAAAAAGTTGGGAAAGAGTGAGCCAGGGTGGGGCTCCTGAAGCCCAGGTTTCTCTAGTGGCCCCTGGGCAGCATACCCGGCCTGGGTCATCCTACTCTGCCTCTTGGGGTGGCACTTCAGACCCAACTGCTCACCAGGACACTTAGGATCACCCCATGGAACGGTCAGGAGCAGCATTCCCAAGAATAAAGGTTAGAAGTCACAATCCCAAAAGGGACCTGAAACCCTGCAAGCAGCAAGGTACAATTTGTGCGTGTGGATGGGTGTGTAGAGGCATGTGTGTGTGTTGCGTCTCTGGGGGGGTGATGTGTTTGTGTGTGTAGATGGTGTGTATGGATGGGTGTGTGTGTGTGAGGGGGTGTATGGCGTGGATGAGGGAATGGGTGAACCTTACGAAGTTCAGAGCAGGCCTATAAGCAGAGTAGCCTGGCAGCATTTACTATAGGTACGATTATCCATTCTTACTTCAGTAGTTTCTAAACTATAGCCAACCAGCATAACATAATAATGATGTTTATAATGATTAGCTCAGTATTTACCAAGTGCCTAAATGTTCAAAGCATTGTGCTAGTTAGTCTTGGCAGGGGACAAAGAAATATAAAATAGCAATTTTATTTTTCTCATTGTCCGATTTAAGCTCTGGCTATAACTTAGATGTTTGACACAAACAACACTCACCAAGCCCCACCAAGTTCCAATTAGATCTTGTAATTTGTCCTGGTTTGAAATGATTTTTCACCAAATGAAAACATTAACATCAAAAATGCCAAATTTGGGACAGATACCTGTTTTTCAGGATGTAACCCCAAAATAGTATTTTAATGTGCTGTGTAAGGTGTTTTTGCTTGAAAATAGCTCCCAATGTCTGTGTCCTTCCTTTTGTTGGTCACAGCCACAGTGGAAGAGATCTGAAAAGTGGGGCAAGAGCCGAGTAAAAACAGGCCGCAAAGAAGATGAATATGCCAACGCTTTTCTGGTGCCTTCTGGCTGGGATTTCATGGGAAGTGATGGGGGTCTCTTAATGTATGTGACAGGTAGGATTTGCTTTTCTTTCTACCCGTCGACAATGGGATAATGCTTAAGCAGAGATGTGAGTGACACTGGAAATATAAGGGCCATGTAATTCTGTAGGCATTTGTTTATTCTTTCTCAGCCAAGTCAGCTCTTAGCCAAATTCTCTTGCTCAAGAACCTGGATTTATACCTGGTTTATACCTGGTATTTCCTTCCCAGGGATGATTTTCATTGAGAATGTAATGTGTTTCCTAAAAAGAATTCGATTGTATATTGGTTGTACTTAAATGTAGAACAGCTGTCTTCTGTTTAGATTTCCACACATAAATCTTTATCTTTAGTGCATGTGTGTGTTTGTGTGTGTGTGTGAGAGAGAGAGAGAGAGAATATGAATGAGAGATGAAAATGTAGGTACTGACCTAAGCTAGAAAGACCTGGGTTTCCAGTTCTTGCCCCACCTCTTGTTAGATGTGGGTATTTGTGTGGTAGAGATCAGCCAGCTGTTCACCAAAACCTGCTTCTGCTTCCTCCTGGCACACAGATGATATTTTTGAGCCTCCTGTGCAGTTACATATTGCCATGTGATTAAACTTTGACCCACAGAATGTACATGGAAGTGATGTGTACTTCCATCCCTCACCCACAGAAACTTTTCTCTATCCTCCATGTTCTTTCTCCTTGTTGACTGTTAATAGCCAGAGAAAGACTTTGGACGTTGTGGGTTAAGATGAGAGCCACTGACAGGCTGGGTCCCTGAAGACACAGCCTCGCAACTCCACCCCACCACAGACTAGTTTTGACATGAATAAGAAAGGAACTACCAGTGTGTTAAGCCCCTGTGACTGTGGGTGTCTGTTATAGCAGCTCACACCGCTAAAACATGAGGTCTACCCTCTTCAGTTTCTATAGCTGAAAGGTAGAATTTGCTTTTTGAAAAGCTCCACTTAATCCCCTTGAGATCAAAATGTGATGTGTGTAAAAATACTTTCTTTATTCTGTGTTCTTCCCCATGCATTTTTACTCAGTTGCAGTAATGGTTTAAATATAATTTTATATTTAGCTCTTTTTCACTTAACACACCACAAGCATTTTTCCACATCGCCACAGTCTTCCTAATTATAAATGTTAATGACTGCTTAATATTCCATCGAGCTGATGTCCCATAATTGTCTAAAACGAGTGTGAGATGCTGCTGTTATACCCTGCTTTGAGAAAATCCAACTTATCAAAACCGTTAAATCAGGGGGGTAGCTACTAAAGTGAAAGAAATTTTTACTCATCAAAAGAATTCTCTGCAAGGGACTTTTAAATACCGAGTTCCCCTTGTGTTTCTTTAAGTATAATTTAAATTACAAAAATGTAATACACCCTCAGCCACCTACTATGCAAAGCAAGATACTTGTATTTAATATATACAAATTTTGACATGTGCATTCAGTAGCTGCTGGTTGCAGAGAATCCCAGCTTCCCTAAAGCAGACCTGATCCAGGTGACCTTTCCTGAGTGTTGGACCTCCTCCACTTGCCATGGTCTAACCAGGCTCTGAAGACCATGGTGGGGGTGGGGTGAGAGGTTGCATTCATGGGCGCTCACACTTATATTGCATCCATTGTTTTTGCACATGCCCACATTTTAAAAATCGTGTCTTAACTGCAAAAACAATATAACAGCAATAATAGAATAAGAGAAATGGAAAAAATCACTCAGAATTTTTTCACAGTGACAGTAGATGTGCTGCTTCAATATACTTTGTTTACCTTGCCCATATGCACACATAATTTGCCTAGCTGTTTTCATCTGTGTTCAGTTTGTTTCCTCCTTCCATCATGTAACCCTATACATTGTCACATTTTTTCATAGTCTCAATATTAGTACAAAACTCCTGTACTAGCTCAACTCTCACCATTGGAGTAGTCACTATAACAACTTGCAGAAACTTTTAACACAGCATTCGCCATCTTGATCAAAATTGCAACATGGGTTTTTATGTGTGTACTGGCAAAAATTTAGGTTTTGTATGGATTCAGATCAGAGGATCAGAGCATGTTCAACTGTATCCCGGCTGAGATCACACTGCATGTCATTTAAACGGGTGTGTTATCACTAATGTCCAATCCATCTCATGTTATTGTCTTCCAAGAGAGGTCCCTTAGCATGTAGTTACATTGTTTATGTACATTACCATACATGTTTAATATGGCATAGAAGGAAAACATAAGTTGTATCCACTACTATACAGTCTCATGTACTGTAACAAATACACCCATGAGTGCTCATTCATTGTTAAATAATTATAATCAGTGTTTTAAATCTTTTACATTATGTACAAAATACTTGGTGGGTTGTTATATGGGCAGTTAAACTGGGTGGGGTTTTTTTTGGCCGCCCCACACGGCATGTGGGATCTTAGTGCCCGGACCAGGGGTCGAACCCTCACCCCCTGCAGTGGAAGCTCGGAGTCTTAACCACTGGACCACCAGGGAAGTCCCAGCAATTAAACTGTTAAAAATGTTTTCTGAAGGTTTTTGGGTGGGCTGAGAACATCATACTTTTGGTTCCATTCATAATGATGGAATATAAGCTCTTGCCATCCAAAAACTTGCTACCTGGCCATTTTCAAGGGATGGGTTAGATTTTGGGTGTTGAAGGGTATCTATGTTTATCCGTATCCCTTACTAGGCTCTGAGCATCTTAAAGACAGGAACTATAATGTATTCATCTTTGGGTGCCCAGCATCTAACACTGTACCTGGCACTTAATTGGTTTAATTCACATTTTTCTGTAAATAAATGAATGAACAGATACCATTTATCCAAAATTGCTCCTGTTTTTGGATGAGCATATCAATAATTTTCATTTTCTATGGAAAATCAGGGTTGTTGTGCTCCCTAAAGGGCATAGCCAAGGAATTTTTGTGTGTGTTACAAGACAGCACCAAGGCACTGCATGTGTGTAGATCCTTCTTCTCCCCCTGCTTTCCTAGGTATGGCCTAGCCCAGTGGCATTGACCTCAGGCTCACAACAACCTGGTTCCCCTCATAGAAAGCACACTGCCAGACTTCCCTGGTGGTGCAGTGGTTAGGAATCCGCCTGCCAATGCAAGGGACACGGGTTCAAGCCCTGGTCCGGGAAGATCCCACATGCCGCGGAGCAACTAAGCCCATGTGCCACAACTACTGAGCCTGCGCTCTAGAGCCTGTGTGCCACAACTGCTGAGCCTGTGCTCTAGAGCCCACGAGCCACAGCTGCTGAGCCCACGTGCCACAACTACTGAAGCCCGTGTGCCTAGAGCCCGTGCTCCACAACAAGAGAAGCCACTGCAATGAGAAGCCTGCACACCGCAACGAAGAGTAGACCCCGCTCGCCACAACTAGAGAAAGCCCGTGCACAGCAACAAAGACCCAATGCAGCCAAAAATAAATGAAATAAAATAATTTAAAAAACAAAAAATAGAAAAGAAAGCACACTGCCTTTGTATTCTACTATGGATGGGTTGTGAAGGAGTGAAAAATAAATCCCTAGTGAGCTTACAGTCTTCTTAGACAGAAAAAATGGCACATCCATTTCCTGGAAATATTCCTTTTGAGACCTGCAGGCTGGAGATCAAGGAGGAAGCCAGAGCATAAGTGGGGAAAGTGTCTGTATTAGACCTCAGTGATTCAAACCTCCCATATACACACCATTGCCTAGTTCCCTCCTGCATTGATTCTGATTTGGGCCATGTGGCTTGCCTTGGTCAGGGGAACATATTGGGGCTTGCCCTTCTGGAACTCTGCCACCTCACAATGGATCCCTGGCTCCTTGCTTGAGACGTATGGCCCTAATGATAGCCTGCACTAATACTAATAATCAGACAGGTGAGTGGGGCCGTCTTAGATCATCCAGCCCCAGTCAAGCCACCAGATAACTGGATGCACATAAACAAACCCCAGTGGGACCAGCAGAAGAACCACCTGGTGGGCCAGGGCAAATTCTGACCCACAGAATCTTGAGCAAATAAAATGGTTGTGGTTGTAAGCCACTAGGTTTTGAGGTGGTTTATTACACAAATATGGTACCCACACCATCAAGTCCAAATGAGTAGGTAAGACTGTAAACAGGAGAGCAAAACAGCAGGACTGGCGGCTGGCAGGCTTAAAACTAGGACAGGATCAGAGTCAAGAAAATGATTCAGAAGTAAGGCTGAGACTAACTCATGAAAGTTGAATGTCTTAGTCTGTGTTGGTGCCTCTTAAAAGAGCCAGTCTCAACAAGATCAAGTGCATCATGCTGACAAATCAGACCAATGGGCCTTAGTAAGTGGTGATCATGGATTTGTGCTGATCTGTCCACATGCTGTAGCCCAGTTTCCATTCAGACAAGGTACATGTCTGCAGTGAGCAGAGGAGTAAGGTATGGTCCATGTGCTCAGAGAGAGGTCACAGCTCTGACCTGATTAATATGGTGCCCTACCCACTACATAATTGTGCCTCAGAGTGCTGAGGGGTCAGGGAAACATAGCTGATTATGGGTTTCCTTTTTGTTGCCATAAAGCTCTTAGAGAAAATCAGACCTTCCTGCCCCTCCCCAAGTCTTGCTCCCTAGAATGAACTACTTTCAACTTTTTTCACTTTCTTGCTGTTTCTAAATAGCATGTTTATACTATTCTTGATTTTTCAATTTTATATATTATCTGGTGACCTCTTTTTATGTAAGATAAGGATTGAGCTCTCTCACTCCTCTCCCTTATCCGCATTTTTCCACTATAAATATAAAATGTTTTAGGATCATATCAATATTCAATGTTTACTTAATGTGTCTAAGTAGGTATTTTCACAACTGAGTCATATGGCTTACTGTGATTATATTTGCTTTCTTGTTTTTCCTGAAATTAATAATTGCTTTGGTTTTATTTATTTAATCTTTAAAATTTATTAACTAAAGTCCATAAATTTTTTTTTCAGAGTATTTTTTTAAATTTATTTTTGGCTGTGTTGGGTCTTCATTGCTGCGTGTGGGCTTTCTCTAGTTGTGGCGAGCAGGAGCTACTTTTCGTTGTGGGCATGGGCTTCTCGTTGCATTGGCTTCTCTTTGCAGAGCATGGGCTCTAGGCGCATGGGCTTCAGTAGTTGTGGCACATTGGCTCAGTAGTTGTGGCTCGCAGGCTCTAGAGCGCAGGCTCAGTAGTTGTGGCGTGGGCTTAGTTGCTCCGTGGCATGTGGGATCTTCCCAGAGCGGGGCTCAAACCCGTGTCCCCTGCATTGGCAGATGGATTCTTAACCACTGCGCCACCAGGGAAGCCCCTAAAGTCCATAGTTTACATTAGGATTCACTCTTTGTGTTGTACAGTTTATGGGTTTTGACAACTGCATAATATCATTTACCTACAATTACAGTATCATGCAGAATAGTTTTATTACCCCAAAAATCCCTTCTGGTCTGTTCATCCTGCTCCCAGTGAACCCCTGGGAGCCACTGATCGTTTTACTGTCTCCATAGTTTCGCGTTCTCCAGAATGTCATATAGTTGGAATCAGACTGGCTCCTTTCACTTAGCAACGTGCATTTAAGTTTACTTCAGGTCTTTTTGTGGTTTGATAGCTTTTCTTTTTATTGCTGAATAGTATTCCATTGTATGAGTGTACCACAGTTTGTTTATCCTTTCACCTATTGAATTTGCTTTATTTTCTACATCTCTCTCACTAAATCAGTCCCAAACTCTCCAACAGAGTTGCTGTCTACCACTCCAGTCTTGTGCTGGTTACTCACTAAATTGTTATCTGGGAGCTTCCCTTCCTATCTGGGAAGTCCTTTGATTTAATTCCTGAGTTGGATATTCTGTTTACAGGATCTCATGTGTTTTTCTTTCTTGGTTTGTTCCCTCATTTTAATGGAGTATATCCATTATTAAATGCCTCAGAAAGGATACATGGGAGATAATTTTTTTAAAAGATTTGGCGTGTCTGCAAGTCTTTATTCTATCCTCATAGATCAGACTTTTCTAGACCTAAATCCTAAGAGGAAAACTAATTGACTTGCTGGTGACTTAGTATAAGCATGTTATTAAGAGATTCCTAAATGGTTAACATTCTATTATTTCTTATATCTTTGGTCTAGTTTTTCTTTTCTACTATTTTGAAGCCTTCAGACTAATAACCCCCCCACTTAATCTTTTTTTGTAAAATAGTTTGAATTGGACACACTTTATTAATTGAGCATTCGAAATGTTAACCTCTGTGCAGAGGTATATATTACAGTATGAGAATGGCTATGTTTACTTATTAATATTTCTTTCTCCACTTTTGGATTGATACAAGCACAGAATAATTAGAGTCTTTTTCTGGCAAATAAAACAGTTAATAGTTGGAAAGGTATGTTTTAGTGAAGATTGTTTATAAACACACCTCTTGCTGCCAAGATCTTAAAGTCTAATTAATTAGCATCACCCCAGCTTCGCCTTTCCTCTTCTGTCACTTGCTTTCATCTTCATTTATACATACACACTCACACAAGCACACACTTCTTATTCTCTTGCTTTCACTTTTCCTCTTTATCTCTGTCTGCACAAGTTTGCACACAGAATTGGCTTCCCTTCTAGCTGTTTTGTCCCTGAACTCCATCAAAAAATATTTTCTGCATCTCTGATTTCATCAAGATATGCCTGACTGGACTTCCCTGGTGGTGCAGTGGTTAAGAATCCGCCTGCCAATGCAGGGGACACGGGTTCGAGCCCTGCTCTGGGAAGATCCCACATGCCGCAGAGCAACTAAGCCTGTGCGCCACAACTACTGAGCCTGAGCTCTGGCGCCCACATGCCACAACTACTGAAGCCCGCGTGCCTAGAGCCTGTGCTCCACAACAGGAGAAGCCACTGCAATGAGAAGCCCACACACCACAACGAAGAGTAGCCCCTGCTCACCACAACTAGAGAAAGCCCGTGCACAGCAACGAAGACCCAATGCAGCCAAAAAATAAATAAAATAAATAAATAAATTTATAGGAAAAAAGAAAAAGATATGCCTGACTGAGAATGTCAAAACCACTGAGCAGAAGTGTTTAATCCAAAGTTGGCTCTGCCGGTGATGATCAGCTGAGGAAACGACCTCAGATTTTTTCTTAATATTTGTTAGAGTGTAAGTTTCCACTGTATGAAATAGATTCACATCCAACTTCTCATTCGCTGCTCTTCATTGTGCAGGCCTCCCACTGGTTTCCAATAGAGCTCTCTGCACCCGAGTAAGACACGGGGAGGGGAAAGGTACCTGGCCATATGTGGGAACACTGCCTCCAGCAAAGGTTTTCCATAGTAGATAGCCATTTCATGATTTAATGGGCAGTCAGATTCTGGCCACATTTATGTAACTTCATAAACTAAGGTTTGAGAGTTAAGCTGGTCACCAGCAACAAGCCCCAAAGTAGTCTAGGCAGCCAAGTGTGGAGCTAGGATCAGAAGATTGCAGCTCCTGTCCCTGCTTAGCAGCCTGATGGCTATATGACATCAGGAAAGTCTGTTAACCTCTCTGAGCCTTGGCGCCGTCATCTGTAGAATGGTGATAATACCATCTACCTCCCAAGGTTGCTGCAAGGATAAAAATAAAATAAGTGTATGTGAAAGCACTTTATAAATGATAAAGTGCCGTGTAAATGTTACTTATCATTATCTGACCTCAGAGATCAAAAGGATGCATTCTTGGGCTTCCCTGGTGGCGCAGTGGTTAAGAGTCCGCCTGCCGATGCAGGGGACACAGATTCGTGCCCTGGTCCGGGAAGATCCCACATGCCGCGGAGCGGCTAGGCCCGTGAGCCATGGCTGCTGAGCCTGCGCGTCCGGAGCCTGTGCTCCGCAACGGGAGAGGCCACAACAGTGAGAGGCCCACGTACAGCAAAAAAAAAAAAAAAGATGCATTCTTATTCCAAGTTTTTTTTTCTCTTTTGATTTAGTCCTCTTAGATGAAAGATATTTTGTGTTTAAAGTGTTTTATAAATATAAAAATTATGACAGGAAAGATGTAGAGTATAATTAGCAGGGAAGAAAGCTTATGGTTCTCTGGGATGAGAACACCCATGACTTATTGACCCAGTACAATATGTTCATAATCTCACATGTTAAGAGCACATCATGGTCAAA